TCCACTTTTTGGTGGTAGTGGTAACAGTGGTGATTTCCCAGTGGTCGCAATATTGAGTTCTTACCGCAGAAGTGCTATGGAGCTTGTAAAGTTGGCAGTCCAATTAAACTCTCAGTACTTAGTGTTTGGAGTGGCAATGGCTGTGGTTTCCTCAGCAGGTTGTGTGTGGTGGTTTGAGTGTTGTTCCTAGAAACTGAGCCTCAAATCCATTTCTCCAGCCCTCCTAATGTTTCTGAGCTAAATAATATCTTTTAGCAAATACCTTTTATGTTTTAACTATCTAGGGTGGATTCTATTATTTGTGAAAAAGAACTGATAAAATTATATATTTAATAAGTCTCATGTTCCATCAATTACAAGAGGCAAATTATTTTACGAACTACAGTTGACCCTCAAACAACACAGGTTTTAAAAAAAATTTTTTTTTAATGTTTTATTTATTTCTGAGAGAGAGAGAGAGACAGCGTGAGCAGGGGAGGGTCAGAGAGAGAGGGAGACACAGAATATGAAGCAGGCTTCAGGCTCTGAGCTAGCTGTCAGCACAGGGCCCAATGTGGGGCTCGAACCCATGAACTGTGAGATCATGACCTGAGCCAAAGTCAGACGCTTTACCAACTGAGCCACCCAGGCGCCCCAGACAACACAGGTTTTAACTGCACGAGTACACTTATATGTGGATTTTTTTTTTATAGCACTGTAAGTGTATTTTCTCTTCCACATGATTCTCTTAATTATGTTATTTCTCTAACTTTATTTTTTATAAGAATATAATATATAACATATACAAAATATATGTTAATCAACTATATGCTATTGGTAAGATTTCTGGTCATTAGTAACTGATTAGTTAAGTTCTGAGGGAGTCAAAAGTTATCTGGTTGGGTCAGTGGGAAATGTGTGTGATTATTGATCTCGGAGTTGTGAGTTTGAGCCCTATATTCGGTGTAGAGATTACTATTAAAAAAAAAAACAAAACACTTAAAAATTTTTTTTAAAAAGTTATACATGGATTTTTGACTGTGCAGGGGGTTGGTGCCTCAACCCCTGCATTGTACAAGGGTCAACTGTACTAGGAAAAAAGAAGGTACAAAACTATTACATGCCCCTTTTTGTAAGACTATATTTTGATTTCAGTTTAAATTGGGGGGGTGTGCTTTGGGATGAATAAGCAATTAGCAAAAGGAATTCTCCCCCAGATGAAACTGACAGCTGATGATGATTTTAAAAGAATTGTATCATCTGGGAGGAAAATAAAACCACACCCAATCCTCATAATTGCAGAGGTCTGTGATTGCTCAATCCCAGGATAATCCCTAAAACACCCCCAGAAAGTGTAATACTAATCAGTACAGTGCCCTACAGAGAAATCCTCCACAATTATGCTCTCAGAACACTGGATAAGGGATCACGTACTTGTGGGCAAAACCTGGGACAGCCAGATTGGCTGACTGAGAAACTGTAGCTAAAGAAATGAGTCAACAAACAGATGCCATGAGATTTCCTACCTCACAATTTTCATTGTCATTCATGGCCAAATAACATAAATGATACCCTTTCTCCTTCCTTTTCCTTTTCCTTTTCCTTCCTTCCTTCCTCCCTTCCTTCCTTCCTTCCTTCCTTCCCTCCTTCCTTCCTTCCCTCCTAATATTTATTTATTTATTTTGGTGGGGGGGGGGGGGCGAAGAGAGAGGGAGAGATTTCCCAACTGGGAGATCATGACCTGAGCTGTGATCAAAAGTCAGACGCTTAACCGACTGAGCCGCACTTACAGTGCTTTCCTTTTACTCTATTTTATTCTTATTTCTTCCATCTTTAGATATCAGGAATTTGGGGTTGTTTTTTTGAGGGGGGGTAGTGGTTTAAAGGAGTTCCAAGGCAGTTCAAACAAAGGTAATGATTATTAGAAGCCATACTCACACCTTATAGAAACCCAGAGAACCTATGTATGAAGAACAGTGGTCCTATGATATAACCCCAGAAGCAGCAGTAGCTGGACGTGTTGTTGATCTGCCCTACACTAGAGAGGAGGTGAATTTATTGGCATATTTGTAATGGAATAGCTGGAATATGTAGGTGGGGACATTTTTGGAATCATATATATAGGCAAACAATGTGTACCTGTTGGGCAAACATGGGGTGGACTAGAGTGAATACCTGCTGTTCTTCATTCTCTCTTCTCCTAGGACCACCCCCTTGTCCCCCAAGGCCATGTTAGGCAATTTGAGCCTCATCCATCTCCTGACCACAACTGATTGGTCCAGGATCTAACTAAGCTGAGCCAATCAGAGTACTTCCTGAGAAATTTGCAACCTACAACCAAGAAAAAGAAGCCAGTGTCTTGTTGGATGCCTAGACAATAAGATTTTTAAGCTTTGGGGCTGTCTGAAGTGATGTTTTTCACCATGTGGACCAGAAAAGCACTGAAAGCCAGTCTGGAGTTAGGGATGATAAGGGCAGGGAAGGGCAGAGGAAAGAGACTGGCAGAAAGTAACAGAGATGAGAGATGGAGAGAGAACCTAATGGCTGTGTCTTTTAGTTCCAGTTGTTCCTGAGGCATTCCTGTCTTTAGGTTTCAGTACCTGATTATAAATATTTTTTTTAAAAATCCAAGCTTATTCTTTTGTGAGCTCATCTACTTTTCTGATTTGACTACTACTCATTTTCTGTAAATTCACAAATTTATTGAGCGTGAACCTCAGACCTGCTTACGTAACAGTCTATGGGACATCTCAACTTAGGTGTCCAACTGGTACCTCAAATCTAGCATATCTAAAACAATTCATCATCTTCCACCTCACCCACCCCCACCCCAGCCCTTGCTGAAACTCACCCTTTCTCTTGTGTTTTTGATCTCAGTATATGGCATCACAGTATCCCTAGTCACCAGCCTGGGAGTTTTCCCAGACTTTATTCTCCCTATTACTCCTCATGTACTATAGGTCTAAGTCTCTAAGTCTAGCCAGTTGTAATTCCCAAATACCTCAGTGTTCTCTTTTTCTCTCCAGTCTTCTTCCCCTACATCATTTCAGTCCTTTGTCATTACTCTTTGCCTTCACTCTCAAATGCCTTCAGTCTCTCCTTCCACCCAGCAACCCAAATCATCCCTCTAATTTCTGATCACATTTACTAATATGATCACATTTACTCCTCTGCTCATAATTTTTCAATGGCTCCCCACTGTTTTCAGGATAAAATCCAAACTCCTGTAGCTGTGTCACAAATTCACTCATATTACACTCAGATATGCAACAATATAAGTCTCTTCTGTTTCCTAGAACTAAGTGATCTTGCTCACAATGCCCCCACTCTGTTGGGTAACAGGAGCAGGGGAACTAAATCCATTCTGGTAAAGTCAGTAGGGTCTAAAAATTTATTTTAGACAATCTCTAAGTAATCCAGTAGGTTTAGATGACCCAGCCCTTCAGATTACCTTACCCTTTCCTTTCTGGTTTTCAAGATAGCATTTGGATTTATCTGGATCTCAGATGAATTTCATGGCATTGAGGAAAGGGGCCTCTTAGCTATATGGTCCTTGGGGTTGTGTCATTTGGCATTTGCTGAGATGTAGTTGGTCCAGTATAAATGAATTGGTGAATGGCAACCCTGAGAGGTAGCTGTTACTAAAACAACTTCACAGATTTGCCTCACAGCTGAGGCAAAAAGAAGTTAAGTAACTTGCTCCAGGTCACAAAGTTCGTTAAGTGGCAGAACCAGGAATCAACACCACCCTCATTCTGGAAGGCAACTGGATCTATGTCTAGAATTCCAGAGATAAATTAATGCTGGATTTGGGAGCACTGAGAGTCTTTATGGTATAGTTTTAGGGTTGTGCTCATCCATGGAGAATATGTTTAGAGTAGGATTAAAAAAGGGTACAGTTCAGAACACTTAGAAATCACTGGTATATGAGGTGGGTAGGAAGGCCTACCTGACAGCTCCTGCCCAAGCTGATCTTCCTCTTAGGAGAGACTCTAGGATGGAGAGAGTCAGGAGCTTCTAGGATGGAGAATCATGCCTGGTCCTGTTCCAGCCATGGATGAGCGATCTCTCAGAGTACCCCATTTCTCTCTGTCCTAGGCTCCCCCACAGCGCAGGAAAGCACGAACCCCCTGACCAATACTGGGTAGGAACTCAATAAATAACGTCCAAAGAACTTGTGTTGGCAGAGCTGCTCACATCTCCTGGGGCCAGGGAATGTAAAGCCGCCTACAAACCCTTTAAAGTAGGGATGCAGGGTCCACCCCCAGTGGAAGTGGATGTGCAGAAGTCCAGGGGGGGTTCCCAGATGAGGAGGTTCAGTCTCCTCCCAGATGTGGGGACCCAAGGCCTTCCTCCAGATGACCGCGGCAGAGGCAGAAACGGAGGGGCAGTCTCCTCACATATGAGGGTACAGAGGCCTTTCTCAGATGTTGGATGCACAGCTCTTCCAGGAGGTGAAGGTGCAAAAAATCCCCAAAAGTAGGTGGGCTCCGTCCCCGCCCCCTTCTCCCGGAGAGATCAAGACTAAGTAGTCCCTTCAGTCTTCTCCCGCCCCCACCCCACCCCGCCCCGACACAAGGGGTGAGCCAGTCCCCACCCCAGCGCGCGACCAATCGTCCAGGAGCCTGTCGCAGCCAGCCAATCGAATGACAGCAGTGCCGCGGGGATGGCTCCGCCCCCCACAGGCCGCGGACCGCCGGCCTCCCAGGAAGCGAGGTTGTCTGCTGTTTTTGCTGCCTGCCGAGCCCAGCCGAGCCCAGCCGAGCCCAGCCGAACGCAGCCGAACGCAGCCGAGCCTAGCCGAACGCCACACCCGGGCCGCCGCCGCAGCCCGAGCGCCTCCGAGCGAGCTAGCGAGCTGCCGCGGCCGCGGAGGAGGCACCGCCCCAGGGGGAGGAGGTGCCAGCTCGCCGCAGACCGCCCGCGGCAGAGGCAGCCCCGGTCGCGCCGCGGCGGGAGCGGCCGGCGGAGGCTGCGCGGCCGAGGGGGAGGGCCGGGGGAGGTGACATCGCCCCTGCCCGCCTCCCGCCCCCCCCCTCCCCTCCCGCAGGCTCCTGAGTCTCAGTCGGCACCCAGCATCCCGCTGCCCCGGACCCTCCCGCGGGCGCGCACCGGGCTCAACTCAGGTAAGGGGGGCCCTCCCCCCACGGGCACGGGGGTCGAGAACCAGAGACAGAGATAAAGAGACCGAGACCCACATGGAGACATAGCGGCATAGCCGGGGGGAAAAAGAGATAGACACAAAGAGACACACGAGACTCCCAGAACTACAGAGACAGACCCCACGGAGAAGGGGAGAGAGACACGTCCTCGGGGACAGAGCGATACACAGCCTGCAAGAAAGACCGAGAGACACAAGACCCATACACACAGAGATACACAGAGATAGACTGGGAGAGAAAAGAGACACACTCGGAGACACTGAGATGGGGACAGCAGAAACAAATAAAAAGAGAGTCACATAGACAGATGCATAAACACAGAGATGGGTATACAGAGGCAGAGGCACACATCTAGGCAAAGGAACCTAGAGACAGATTAAGAGCCAGACACACAGACACACACAACTGACCCGGAGAGACAGTCCCACAGACAGGCACACCCCAGTATACAGCCTTGGATACACAGACCCACACATGCTTGCCAGGGCCTCCACAAAGTTCCCTCTGTCTGAGCTGGCACCTCTGGAGGTCTCCTGGGGTGGCTGGCGGGAGTCCTGAGAAGGGGGAGGCGCCCAGGCCACACCAACACTGGTCACAATCCCCATCTTCCAAGGCCTTGGGCTTCCTCATCTCATCCATTCTCACAGCACTTTTGAGGGCTGGAAGCTTGGTGGGCAGGGCCAGGCCATGCCTACTGGTTCTAAGGAGAATGAGATATAGGCTGTCTACTCTAGCTTCCCCACTGTGGCTACACTCCCATCCAGGTGCCCAGAGCCAAGCCCTAAGATGGGTGCGTTGGCTCTGTGGGTTATTTGAGCCTGCCAGGACCCAAAGTCCTCTGCCAGGAAAGCCAGAGATGTGGGAAAGGATTCTCTTTTTTATCCCTCCCCTCCTAGGCCTCACCTTATCCCTTCCTCACCACCCTTTCCTCTGCTGTGTACCTGCCACAGGCTCAAGACTGCAGGTGGACATCTCCATTGCCCAGGAATCATTGAGTGTGAGGACAGGACAGCCTCTTTGGAAGGCCAGCTGTACCGGATTCCTGCCTCGGCATGGGCCTTGCCATCGAGCCAGCCCCGTGGTCTGTGCTGGTCTGAGGGTGCTGCCCGTCATGGGGGCAGCCATCTCCCAGGGGGCCCTCATTGCCATCGTCTGCAACGGCCTTGTAGGCTTCTTGCTGCTGCTGCTCTGGGTCATTCTCTGCTGGGCCTGCCATTCCCGCTCTGCGGACATCGACTCCCTCTCCGAATCCAGTCCCAACTCCAGCCCTGGCCCCTGTCCTGAGAAGGCACCCCCTCCCCAGAAGCCCAGCCATGAAGGCAGCTATCTGCTGCAGCCCTGAAGGCCCCTCACCTAGCCTGGAGTCTGGGACCTAAGTCTACCCCACCCAGAGCCTGGAATCAGGATCCCAGGGTCTAGCCAGCCTGGGGTCCAGAACCCAGAGTCTAGCCTGTCTGGAGCTGGACCTAGCAGCCCAGAGTCTAGCCAGCCTGGCTCCAAGAGGGGCTCTGCTGGCCCTAGGTAGACAGGCCCGGGGTGGGGGTTCATGAGTCGGTGCTAGGGCCAGGGCCGTCTTGAGTCTGCTCTGTACCGAGGGCCAGGGGCTGGGTCCATCTCTCCCTAGGCCAGTCACCTCCAGGCCCTTGAGGCTGGGGAAGCAAACTGGAATCCATGGCAATAATGGGAGGGTGTCCAGGCTGGGCCCCTCCTTGGGTCCTCCCACTGTTTGCTGGATAATAAATGGAACTGTGGCTCTACCCTGAGATTTCCTCCTCTTCCTGGGGACTCTGTGATAGCAAAATTAAAGGAGTGGGGGGTGAGCTTCCAGACACAGGTTTATTTGTGTAGAGTAGGATGGGATAATGACTGAGGACCGAGTCCTGGGGTGAGGTGCTGGGACCAGGGCTGAAGCAGAGTGCTAAGGGTAGATGCTGGGACCTGATCAGGGGCGGGGTCACATACTGGGTGCTAAGGCTGGGCTTAGGTACTAGGGTTAGGGGTTACAAGTACTGGGTTCAAGAAATGGGACAGGGACTGAGACCAGGCCATCAAGTCTTTGTTTTCACTTCCCTCACCAGGTTCAGCAGTTTATCCAATTTCGCGATCTCCACAGCCGGACCCTTCTGTACCTCCTGCCCCTTCTTTTCCTGGGGAAGGGGGAAGTACATGTTGGGGAAGAATGGTGAGGGGTGGGCCACCTTTCTCTGGGTCCCCGCTCTGCCTCCTCTGCCTCCTCTGCCTCCCTGCCCCAGCTTTGTCCCACCTCTCTCCCACCCAGTTAGATTCTGGATCCCTGCCTCTCCCCACCCCCACAGGGTCCTTCCCCAACTCAGGTTAGGAGACATGGGCCCACCCAGGGCCCTTGAGAATCTAGGTGTGGCTCTCAATCTGAGATCAACAAAGGGTCTTAATGCTGGGAGGAATGGCAGAAGGTTTTTACCCACTGACCCTCACAGGAACTGTGAGGCTAGGGAGAGCTGTAGCTCTGGGGAGACGTGAGGCCTCTGACTGTTGGGACCACCCTTTCACGGGAGTGTCCCTGGCTGAGTCCTAACAAGGAACTAAGAGATGTGTGTTTGTGGAGGGAGAGGTGTGGACAAAGCCACAGCTGCCCTCATCTAGCACCAAAACTTTCAGGTCAGGTTTGGAGTGGGGTGACATTTGGGGCCAGGTCTTCTGTATCAGACATACCCAGGGTGGAGGAAGTTGTCAGAGCCCAGAGGGCAAATGAGATATCACATGTGATTCCAGGTGTCCTTAGCTAGGACTATCCCTCAGAAGAGCAGATCCTAAAGTTATGGCCCCTCACCCCGGTCTATAGGGCATTCTAATGCCCTGAGAAAAAGAGAATTGGGACACGGGGGTATGTGTCACTCACTCACAGGCCCCAAGAGCTCCATGGCAGACAGCACTAGTCCCATCCTCCCTTCTGTCTAGGCAGCGGGATACGGGCTAGGCTGGGGCAGCTGCCATTTCCTGCCTTCCCTCTGTTCCTGAGCCCCTCTCCCCTGCCTTCTCAGCCACCTGTGCCACCTGCTCACTGGCACCTGCTCCAGCCTTGCCTGTTGAAGGCCCAGCCTGGGTTTGGTCTGGGCTGTGAGGAGGGGAGAGAGTGCATGGCCAGCGAACCCCTTCCTGGCCTCAGCCCGGCCACTAACACAATGCAGAGCTTAGATTTCTTCCTGGTGTGACTGTTGCAGCACTTGCTCTGAAATCTGTCTCCCTCACCCCTTGTGGCCCAGTGCCTTTGTCACTGCCCAGCTCACCTCTACGCTCTCTGGGCAGAGGACAAAGATGTCTTTTTCTCTAACTACTCTGTCTCCCAAATCAAGTTAGTGTTCTCTTCTTGGCTTCACCCCATCCCCCTGGGAATTTTGGGACCTGGCTTTTAGTTTCAGCTTTGTCATTAATCCCCCATATAACTTTGGGCAAGTCCCCTGCCTTTCTGGGCTTGTTTCCCATCTATACGGTAGTTAGGGAAAGATCATCTCTCTGACAAGTTGTGCTCTGACACCAATTATGGGAAGCTTCCCGGGTCAGGAAGTTGGGCCTCTGTAGCCAAGCCCTCCTGAGAAGCGCAGGGACTACAGCCCGAAGAAGGGCGGGTGGGGGCAGGGGTGGTAGGGATGCCCAGAAGACTTCCTTTTGCACAAATCATTTGACTACTGATAGAACCAGATGACAGTTTCACAGGAGCCTCCAATCCACTGAAGTACTAGCCCCCAGCCATGTCACCTGCTCAGGTCCTCTGATCCCCTGGTGTCTATTTCCTCAGGTCTTCAGAGTTATAGGTCCCTAGAGATACAGAGCCCAGCTCCCTTAGCTATGACTGACCCTTGCTCTGAGAGGAGTTGGGACTGTGGGAGATCCTTGCCTCCCTGGGTCAGAGTGGGCAGGGCAGCCCTCCCCACCTCCAGATCTACCACCCTCAGGGTGTGATGGTTGTACCCTTGTCTGTCAAGAGAAGATTTTATCTATTCCTTCCCTCCTTGAGGCCAACTAGCTGGGCCCAGCAAAGAGCTTCACACCATGCCCAACTCCCCCATCCCATCCCACTCCACCCCCAGCCCACCACAGCCTTGAGGCCACAGCTGCAGGCGCTTAGCAGCCTTCTGAGTATTTATAGCCAAGTCCACCCCCTCCCCCAGCTGGCTACAATTACAGGCCCGGCCAAAGTCCTAGCCCTTGCCTCCCGGTCATGGTGGGGAATAGACCAGGCAGGTACCAGAGGTACGTTGCGGTGGCCCCTGCCTTGGTAAGGGTACAGGGAGGCAGGTATCAGTAGTTGAAAGAGGTCCCTGCCCTTGCCTCAAACTGTAAATAAATGCCTCATATTGCAACCAGGAGGTGTAGTCATCAAGGCAACTTGGCCCAGCCCTGGCCCAGCCCTGGCCCAGCTCTCATCCTGGCCTAGAACCTGGCAGAAAACAAATTCCATATCCTCTCTTAGCACCCAAATGGGCAGTACTGGGCTCTGGATTCTAAGGCCTGGATTCTTGTCTCAGTCAGGACTCTGAGATCTAGACTTTGAAGTCTTGGCTCTGGGCTTCATGGCCTGTTTTCAGGGCCTTTGGGCTCTGGGCACTGTCTCCAGATCAGTACAGATCCCAGAAAGGAACCAGAGCTCGAAAGGAGGACTGCCTAGCTGCTGACCTAGTTACCCTCTTTTCCTTTTTACCTTTTTCCCTGTGTGGACCCGCAGCTCCCAGCTCAGGGACCACTGGAGCTGAGGCCCTTTAAGCCCAGCCAATGACTAAGTGACTAAGCCTCAAACCCCCTGCATGGATAACCTGGTCTACACCAAAGAAGCTGATGATATCCACGTGCTTCCCCAGGCTTTGAACCCCTACAGTCACTTACCTACTGGATGTCTCTACGTGGGAGCCCCACAGGTAACTCAGATTCAGCATTTCAAAACTAATCTCATTATCTTTCCACAAACCTACTTCTCTTGTGCTCCTTATTTGGGCAATGACACCACCCTTACCCTGGGTTTTCCAAGACTGGGATCACCCTCTGGCTCCTCGCCTTTTTTCCTCAATCCCCACCATCTTGGTAACTTTATTTCTTACAGTAGCCCATACTACCCAAGCCTGTACCTTTGGCATCTTGCGCAAGTTGGGTGAGAGCTTGAGGCAAGTGACATGCCCACGGTCATCACCCACAATGATGATAGGGTGGATGGGATTGAACTGCACGTGGGTGATCTTGTTCTTCTTTTTGGCCACCACGGGTTGGTTGCAGATGGCCTCATACTTGTTGATGGACAAGTCAAACACATGAGTCTGTGGAGAGGCAGATAATGGGACCCCCACTTCAGAAGAACTAGCGCGTGGGTTTTCTGGGGAAACACAACAGAAGTCTAGCACACTGGAGATGGAGACAGTGGAGAGGGGATTTGTGTCTCTGATTATGTTTTTCCTTGGTTGAGGGAGTGAGAATAAAAAGCTTAGGAGAAAATTTAAGTCTATGCCGAATTAACAATAATAGCAGCTACCATTGGTTGAACACTTACTATGTACCAGACTTTGGGCAAGCATATACATAGTTGTATCACCTAATAATCCTCACAAGCCACTCTATAGGGTAGGTTCTGTTTTATAAATGAGGAGATAGAGGCCCTTAAGGCTAACTTCCTGGTAAGTGGCAGACCCAGGGTTTTTATCAGTTAATATATGCAAGGTGCTCAGACCACACTTGTCATATAAATGCTCAACAAACGTTTGATCTTATTTTTACCATTCGCTAAATCCAAACCATTAGTAACTCTTGCCTGGACAACTGTGGCAGTTTCCTAATGGGTCTCTCTGCTTCCACTCTTGACCCTCTACAATCCATGCTCCAAGCAGCCTCTAGACTTACCTTTAAAAAAATCTAAAATCATCCAATAGTTTCCCTTGACAGTATACATACAATCCAAATTCCTGACTCCAGATTCTCCACTCTCCACTCTCACTTCCTGCTCTCTTCCCTTTGCTTCCTAGACCCAGCTGCATTGCCTGCTTGTCCCTTAAACACCTTCAAGCTCATTCTCACCTCAGGGCATTTGCACTAGCTATTCTCTCTGTCTGGAATGCTTCTTTCTGTCTTCACCCAGGGCTGGCTCTTGTCATTAAGCTCTCAGCTTGAATGTTACCTCTTGAAGAAGCTTCCTTGACCACTCTAAGAGACCACACAGTCCTTTTCTTTTATATCACTCCCTTTCTCTCTCTCTTTTTAAAATTTTCTTCAAGTAGTGACTTTTACTTTTATTAAGTTTATTTATTTTGAGAGGAGGAGAGAGAGAAAATGCCAAGCAGGCTCTGCACTGTCAGTACGGAGTCTGATGGGGGGCTTGAACTCATGAACCGTGAAATCATGACCTGATCCAAAACCAAGAGTTGGGTGCTTAACTGACTGAGCCACCCAGGTGCCCCTTTTCTTTCTCTTTTAAAAAATATAATAACTTTACTGAGATATAATTCACATATAAAAACATTTACCCACTTCAAGTATACTTGGTTTTTAGTATATTCACAGTTATGGAACTGTCACCACAACCAATTTTAGAACATTTTCATCACCCCGAAAGAACTCTTGTACCATTAGCAGTCACTTCCCATTTTCTCCCACATCCCCAGCCCTAGGCAACCACAAATCTGCTCTCTGGCTCTATAGCTTTGCCTATTCTAGACATATGTAAATGGAATCCTACAAATGTGTGGCCTTTTGTGACTGACTTCTTACACTAAACATGTTTTCAAGTTCATCCATGTTG